CTGACAGAAATTTTGATGCAGCTCCATGCATAACCAAATGTTACGTTGCAAGCTGGTTCTACACACACACACACACACACACACACACACACACACACACATGCAGTGGGGTAGAGAAAAAGCTGACTTAAAATATATACAGCGTTTTTAAAATGATGAATATTTACAAATCTGTCCAAGAACAGAAAAAAATAGAAAGAGACAATCCTAAGTGCTAATGAACATCTGGAGAGGATGTAAATATTTCTGGGCTTTGGTCGATGTTTGTTGTTATAGGAGTTTGTTTTCCATAGGCAGTGTTGCTCCATAGGCAGTGTTGCCATGGTTTACAGATGTTAGTCTTAAAATTGCTTGGAGTGATAGTATCTCACAATACTGCAGACTGTGACCCAATGCTGTGCTGAACTCACATCTCTGAGAGAGCAGCTACCTCTTGCGCTAAGGAAAGCTAACAAACCAGTTAATGCATGACAATCTATGATTCAGGGCAGGGCTGTCAAACTCCTGGCCCACTGGCCAGATGTGACACATGCTGGCCAAGCCCACGCCCCGTTTAGCGAAGGGGGGAAAATATGTCACATGATACGTCACGTGACGACGTGAGTTTGACACCCCTGGTTTAGGATCCTGCATGCAAAGAAACCTACATGGGAAAGGCTCTATCAGGGGTTAGGCTTTGGGTCAGGGTTCCAGCCATACATTATCTCTAAATGATGCTTTTCATTGTCCCCTTTTTGCTTATCCTTTTAATGCATTTAATATCCTGTGACTACTAAACCCGCTGAATCCTTGGTGGTCTTTTGATTCCCTACTAGTGTTTTTTTTTTTTTTAATGAAGTGCTACCCTGAATGTGTGGGCCTATCCTTACTCTTGCACTTTGATGGTCTCATTTTGGCCCTGTTGGGTCCTGTTGGGATTCGCTATCGGTTATGACATGAGCAAAATGCAGGAAGGAGGTGATATTTGCCTCTTTTTCAGGGGGTGAATTTCCAGCCCAACCTCTCATTTCTGCATATGCCTCTCCTGTCAGTGTCATGCCATCATGTTGCCCAAGAACTTTCTGTAAGATGTGAAGTTGACACATAATCCATCCTTATCCCTTACATGATGAAGTGATAGGATAGTGGGACTATTGAGAGAATGGAGTACAGTGGTAGAAAAGTGTTACGTGGAAATACAGTGGACTTGAATAAAGTAGCATTTGTAGATCAGACTTTCTCAGCCTCATGTTCTTCAAACGTGTCACAGCAATTTCTTTATAACCAACAAGAATGGACAAAGAAGACTGATCATTTTTTCCCTCCAAGTACCAACTTATTATAAAGTGTCACTGCTACTTTGTTTTTGCTTTATATTGAAAAAAGAATAATCTACAAGAGGAAAATGATCAGCAAGCCATTTGGAGAGCTCAAGATTTGACATGACAGAAAAAGTTAACGGTGTCTTTAAAATCTCAGCTTACATTATTAATGTTCTCTTATCTAAATAGTGGTGCACTTTAAATGTTGGGTTCCCTTTTGAATGTGGCTTTAATAAAAGACAATTTAAAAAGCCAGGAGACACTGGACAGGCCAGCTATTTGAGACAAGAAGAACAAGTTAAATAATACTTTAAACATTTTAATATATGTTAACACGTGCTCAAGTGCAATTTAAAGCTTCTTTGCAGCTTGAATTCTGCTCTTCTGTTTCTAGGCCTTCTGACCTATAAGTGCAGTTGATCCTTCTTTATAACAGGGTTACATGATAACCGTGTTCCAATATCTCAGGGGCTGCCACAAAGAAGAGGCAGTCAAACTATTCTCCAAAGCACCTGAGGTCAGGACAAGAAGCAATGGATGGAAACTAATCAAAGAGAGAAGCAACCCAGAACTAAGGGGAAATTTTCTGGATATTAGAACAATTAATCAGTGGAACAACTTGCCTCACAGAAGTTGTGGATGCTCCAACACTGGAAATTTTTAAGAAGGGATTGGACAACCATTTGTCGGAAATGTTATAGGGCTTCCTGAGCAGTGGGGCAGCAAGTTTCCAGAGCAGGGGGTTTCCTGAATAGAGAGTTGGATTAGAAGACTTCCAAGGTCTTTCCAACTCTGTTATTGTGAAGAACTTTTAAGCCCTTGAGATCTTGGTTTTGGCTGTATTATATACCTTCTGATAGGTGACTGCCTGGGACTTGATTTATTTGTTTACTTAGAATACTTAGAAGTGACTTCCTTTGCAAGGACTATATGAAAACTATGTTAAGCAGTGCCTAATGATTGTTTCTGAAATAAATTATCTAACAATATGGATTAACCATTTAGTGAGTGACTCCCTTGCTCTATGGATAAGTTAAAAGGGATTAAACAGTTGCCTTTCTGCTTAAAGAGGAGTTTCTATCAAGCCACATCAATCTCGTTTGCCTGGCTGAATTATGTAGTTGCTGCACATGGCCATAGTAATTAAATAATAACATGTATGGCCTATGCAGGGTGTTTTCATACACTTCTTTGATCACCGCAATCACCGAACACAATAAAGAGATATTCAGAACTCTGGGTGGACAATGTTTTTGAGTTAGTAAATTTTTGAGACTGTCTGTGTTCTTTCTCACAAAATGGTTGCTTCAGCAGGGGGTGGTTTCCCTCTTCACAGAATAGTTGCCATGCTCAATATTGACATGAAGCCCTCACTTCCTAAAAGGTGTTCTGCCTCCTGTCTTCCCTCAATTGACTAAGCTCCCTCTCCCTCTCTCTCCCTCTCCCTCTCTCCCATGCCCTTATCCATTTACCTTGGCTTCGCCCACCCCACTCTAGACAACTAAGCATACATTGGAACAAAACATGGGAGCGTCCAAGCTTGTGTTGAGCTCTAAACCATTTCTAGATGTGTGTAAATATCAAGCAGGGTTGGGAACTTAGTAGGTATTAATGAAGGTGTTCTTAGACATATCTCCAGTATTCATGAATTATGATTTAATCCAATCATACTGGAAGCATGTTCAAAACGACGTTAGCAGTCTAGTGGAGTAAGATGTCCAAAGATCCAATGAAGGATGCCTAAAAGATGGCATCCTTTGGTTCAGGATGCATTCAGTTACTGTAGCTTTCTACTCATTTCAAGAATTAGTCCTCTTATTCATTCTAGTAAAAAAAAAAACCCACCACATTAGATATATGAGAAGGGAAAGAAGCAACTACAGTAGAGTGGATACAAAGAGTTTGCATAATGTCCTGTTTCCTTCCCTTTGAAACAAGTTGACTGGCACAGTCTGAGTTGCCATCAATAATTTGGATGGCCAAAGAAGGAGGTGTTCAAAGGAGATCTGAACAATGATGTTCAAAGGAGATCTGAACAATGTACATCTATTAGATACCTGCCCAGCTTCGGATGCTACTTCTGAAAGATAATGAATCTTAAGTCAGCAACCAATGTTACCTGTTGGTGGAATAATATAACCCTGTGGGAGAATTTCATCTTTCCTAATTCGCCCCAACCTCCCGAATTTACTGCAAAGAAATCCAGGGCTGATATAACGATCGCATGATAGGATCATGCAGAGGAGAGCCAAAGGCAATCCTACTGCTGAAATCCCCCGTGAGAAGAATATATGAATCAGTGTTGCGATAAAGATCTACTATACTTTTTCAGTTCATTCTTAGCTTCATGACAATCGTACAAAGGGGAAGGAGGAAAGAAAGCCTGGTACCGTACAGTGTTCTATCCAAACAAAGCTATTGCATATACGAGAGATGTATGAAGCTGAAATATATGCACAGCAAAGCAAGAAGCATTTATCACCGATTCGTTCCGAAGTATCTTTTGATTTTGATGCCCCCAAATTAAAAAACAAAGCAAAAGTGTTACTAAATTATAAATATTTTTAAAATCCTTAGGAATGAAATGTAGCTTTAGATGCTGGAAAGATTCCAGAGATGGTCCAATGATAATAGGTTGAATTGAAGGTCGTTTCCTTTCCTCGTTCCCATACCCCATTTTTTCACAGAATGTTCCTTAACTTTCAATTAAATGTGTGAAGAGAGGAAATGTAACATACTCCTACACTGCTGATGAAATTCTATCCATAGGATCTTTAAACATGTACCTTTTAGAAAATGGTCCATTGAACATACAACATAGAATCACAGGGTTGGAAGGGAGACCTCAGGGATCTTCTAGTCCAAACCCTGCTCAAGACAGGAGCCTTGTACAATCCCGCCCGGTCAAATGGTTGTCCGCTCTATTTTTGAAAACCTCCAGTGGTGGAACCTGCAACCCCAGGAGGCAAACTATTCCAATGAGTTATTTCTCTCATTGTCAGAACATTTCTCCTTACTTCTAGGTTGGATTACACTGTAACAAGCTCCTAGCACCCATTATTTCTTGTCCTGTCCCTCTGGTGCTTTTGGAGAATAAGTCAATCTCCAAACTGAACTTGGATTCCATAAACATGGTAGCTTTTGGCTTTTAAAATACTATGCATTACCAGCGTCCACAATGTCAAATGGATATTTGTACTTTAAATGAATAAAATACCAGCCTATCTGTCAAATTGTGATGGTTGTCGATTTCAAATGTTACTATTGATAAAGCCATTTGGAAGAGCACAAATGAGAAATAAATAAACTCTTATTTAACTCATGGCCCTTTTAGTTCCCCCCCCACTCTTCTTTACAGCATACAGATCTACAATTAAATACACAAGAGCTTCTTAAAAAGCAAAGGGTTGCAATAAACTGTTCTAAAGATACTTTTTTCAAGAGGTAACTGGACTTTCAGATCCATCCAGTCAGATCTGAAGGAGGCTTCTTGGATGAGAAGTAAAACATCTTCAAAGAAAAACCAGAAAGTCCAGTTGCCTCTTGAAAAAGCACCTTTTGGACAATCTCAATAGAAGTTGCAATAAACTATTTAGTTTTTAACAGTGTTTCATTCAGAATTTTGGCTGTGATTTTTCTTATCTTCCAATCCGTAATTATACATATTGTTTATTAGCATGAGGTTACATCACAGTCATGTTAACTCCTTCCTTAGCTATGCAGCATTTCTACTGATTTTTAAACACTATTCCTGAAAATAAAGTGCCACCGTTGATTTTAAATTTGTAAACAACATTAAAAGCAAGTACTTCAATTGTTAAAAGGGAAGTAATGACAGCATTTAGCAATTTCCCCATTTAAACATATGTGAGTTTTCAAACATCTCTTCATCACTAAATTGACATTATTACCAATACCTTTTGATACCTTAGTTTATAGATGGCAAGGAGTAGATCTTGCATTTGGCAAGGTTGTTACAATGAAGAAAATTATATACTACTAACATTCTGGAGAATATTTTAAACTGGAGACAGAGCAACCTAATCTGGAATGGTAGCCTACCCAACTGGGAAAGGTATGTGATCTCCATGCTTTGAAAAACAATAGGAGAGGGAAAGAGAGAGGGAGAGAGATGTTTGTATCAACATATTTTTAAATTTCCTCTTCCACAGGATGGAATAGTGGTAAAAGATACAGGTTCTATTCCTTTGCTGCACTCCATGGACCAACTCCTTTTAAACTCCTTTAAAAAACTTGTCTAAGATTTCCAAGAGTTTTGACGCCAGATCAGCTGGCCTTGGATGTTATTTACAATGATAGTAGGAATGATCCAACCTCAGGTTTCCTATTCTGAAGTTAATCTTTCTCCCAACTTACTGGGGAAAATTAGACCTCTCTTTGGGTCTCTGGCACTGTTCCAGTGGTTGTTGGTTTGTCCATACTGTTTATAGTTAATCAAAGGAGATCCAGTTGATTTCAATAGGGCCTACTTTTGCTAAGTGGGCGTAAGGTTTTTTAAATGAGGAAATAGGGACCCAAGTACTGAAATGTTCAAGTACTGAAATGTTTCTATATATAAAACAGTAACTTTTAAAACAAATTACTTTTAGCTATGGTCCATTTATAACTTCAACTGCTCCTCATATCTGAATTTAGAGGAAAACAGCTGGGTCATTGGAAGGGGTGATGCATGGATAAAAATCTACACAAGATGCATTCCTAATCCTGTCATAGCAAGAACTTTATACTGACAGCTAGACTTTGATGATAAAGTGGCATCTAATTTGGAACAGAGGCCTTTCATGGCACCATTTCAGTTTGCATTTTTAAAATCAATTTCAGTGAGGATGAATTTTCCTCATAACCAATGACCCACCATTGCCTTAGAGAAGGGTTCCTCTCTGACTTTTTAATGGGAATGAATTTTTATGTTATGCTTGTTACAGTCATCTTCTTATGCATACACTTGATAGACTGGACAAGACAAATGCCTCTTGTTTGTTTGGACTGATGTGAATAATACCATTATGTTAGGACCTGCAGTTTGTAAACCAGAAGTTATAGCTGGAGAGACCAGCTAACCAAAATATTATTAAGATTTCTTTCCTCGTAGAAGTGAACACCCCATTGTCTGTTTGCTCTCTATTCATATAACAAGAACCAAAGTATTTACACCTCAAAAAGTCCTAACATCTGAGATGCTTCTTGCTGGACATATCATTCCAAATCCTGTGCATTTCCTCAGGGGATATCTGATGTACCGTAATAACACGCCGATATCTGCACAGGCTGTAGGCCATCTTCCAGTGATTGAAGCCACTGTTTTGGAAAGGATGGATGCCAAGCTTCCGCAGACAGAGTCCCACATACACGTCCTCAAGATGAAGGAGTCTAGTATGGAGGGAAGTCTTGTAAATCATTTCTGCTACATCGGCAGAAAAAATATAGCCTGTGCCTGAGCAAAATGGCGGATAGTTGCTGTCAGGATACAAGTCCCTTGGCATGTACCATTTGCTCCGGACATCCCTGATGGGTCCTCCATTGATGACATAGCCAGTAAAGTACCTTCGTCTTGGTTTGGTGTTCGGTTTGAGCAACTTGTAAATGAGGTTGTCCATATTTACAAAGATGTCGCTGTCTGTTTTCATGATATACTTGGCTTTTGAACAAAATGTGGCCACCCACTTCATTCCCATTAATGTTTTCAGGGTCAGGTTATGATACGAGTCAATGAAGTCTTCCACAATGATGTCGTGAAAAATTTGACTTTCTTGCTCCACCATCTGGTTTAACACAGAGTCTGTGTTTTTCCCCAGAAGAAAAAGTGTGGAAATCTTAATGCCTTTGAAGTTGTTCTCATCACCCCAGGTCTCCCGGATAGCTTGTCGAGCATCAAACTCTTTGTGTGTGGTGCTGATTAGAATAACCAGAAAGGGAGCGTTCTTCTCACACTTGTCTGGCTCATTGATGAGAAAATCAAATGAATGAGGGTTTATTGGTCGAGTCCTTATGTTCCCAAAGGAAACATTTTTTCGAGCCATTGAGATGCTGTCATAAGTTTTATGAACGGTGTAAGATGAGGTGTAGGAGGAAGTGGGACGTGTTATGCTTAAGTACCACAAAGCACTTGCCCAACATACAACTGTCAAGACATATAAACACGAGACTTTTGAAGGCATTGTTCCTGAAGCTCTTCTAATCAACAGAATGAACCAATTGTCTTCTTGCCACTTGCTTCACTTGGTCTGAGAGAGGAAGCATGTTATTTTTCAGATCTTAAAAGTCTGACACGATAATGGCATGGCACTTGCTTCTAGAAATCCATTGCCCAGTCTAATGATAGCTCCCATGTCTTGGGGTGAGGTGTTACTTCTGAAAAACATAAGTGAAAAACGGCTTATTGAAGGTGCTGTTTTATTCTTTTTTTAAATCAAGTTTTTTTTATTTTACATTACATATACATATCAATGTGTGAACAGTGTGACACCAGGGTGCCATACATTTCAGTACAAATAAAATAATATCATAAATCATATACCAAATTATAATCTTTCATTATTTCATATTGTTTAAACATACATAATAATACCGCTGTTCAATTTCTAAACTGCTCTCTTGTCATTGCACTTATCTTATAAAAATGTATATACTAATATTCCCCCTTTGTCTTGTCTTATTTCTGTCTGTATTCCAAATTTTATTCATGTGATCATTATATTAAAAGATGTTCCCTTTGCATAACAATACCCTCAGAGGTGGCATTCAGCAGGTTCTGACCAGTTCTGGAGAACCAGTAGTGGAAATTTTGAGTAGTTCAGAGAACCGGCAAATCCCACCTCTGACTGGAGATTTTACAGTATCCTTCCCCTGCCACGCCCACCAAGCCACACCCACAGAACCGGTAGTAAAAGATCTGATGATTTTAAGTTTAAAAAGGTCTGGATAAATAATAAGAAATCTACATATATAAAGGCGAAATATCACTCATGCATCATCACAAAATCTCCAGAACTGTAAAGCCTACAAACTAGAAATTTAGTGTGCTCCTCTTGGCTTCTAGGTGCAAATACAGTTTCAGCAAATACAGTTTCAGTTTCCAAACAGCCTCACACATTGACAGGATGCTAGCCATATGAATACCGATGGATGATGGTAGGCAGAGGCAGAATTTTTCCCCCTTATTTTCCTCCCAAAAAACTAAGCCCGACCACATAGTTTCATAGCGAAGCACGGGTATCGAGCTAGTAAGCATACATTCACAAATTCTAATAATAATAAAAAATACTTCTTTCTATTGCACTTTGAGAATATTCAACAGTGGTAAATGTCAGAGATTGTAAAATGTATGAAATAAGAATAGAATATCTAATTCATTATGCTTATAGACCAAAAAGACTACGATTTCAAGACTGCATAGAGCTCTTTGCACGACAGAGCTTTGCACACATATAACAAAATGTACTAATGTTTAGGGTCACACAATTGCCTTTGTTATCTAAATGCCAGCATGTAAGATTATGAGGGCAGGTGGTGAGAGATGTGGTCTCTTTATCTGAAAGCTGGTTATAAATAGCTGCTCCCTTTCGGTTTAATTGCTGTGATTAAGTGGATTTTTTCCCCCTATTATTGTCTGCATTCTGTCAATTGCTTTAAAATGATGAAATTATTATTTTAGCCTGCATTGTTTTTGGCTTGGTGACACAATGTACAGTGTTGGTTAGATCAGTAAAGGCGTGATTCAATGTTTAGCAGCAATCCCTGTACAGGTAGTCCTTGTTTAGTGGCTGTAATTGGGACCAACACCTCAGTCATTAAATGGTTGCAGAAGTGAAAAATCATATTATCATAGGATTTTACTTTAGCTTTCCATTGCTTTCACAGCTCAGAAGATGCAAACCTAAACAATTGGGTGAGTCCAAATGGTAGGGAAGGTTTGAGGATTTCAACTCATGAGGAATTCAAGTAAAAGGGAAACCTTACAGGCCTTTCCCAACTTTCCTCCCTTTGGAATGTTCATCCCGGTAGTGTATTTACATTCATTGGAGAGGAAGGGATTGCAGGAGCGTAAGCAGGCACTCCATGGAGAATAGACATTGAAGGAAATGCCCTAGACTAGGGGTGTCAAGCTCACGTCATCAAGGCAGCATCATGTGGCGTATCCGGACTCCCCCCCCCGCTTCACTAAAATGGCCGACAACTACACACACATCTGGCCTACTGGCTGCCGCCATTTTGACAGCCCTGCCCTAGACTAACTGCCTAAACCGATTAAGGTGTTTTTCAATTTTAATCTATTTTAGGTAAGAGCTGGCAGTGCATTCTAATCATCTAATTAAAGTCCCAGAGCTGAGTTTTGTTAACTTGCACTTAGCACTGTTTAGGGATGCACTACAGAGAAAAGCGTCTCAGGAGGAGTTAGCTTGTTTAGGCAATCTCTCTATTCTGCTGGAGAGGGGGAGAGAAAAAAGGGGGTTAGGCACAGGGCAATACCTACTAACCGAATGCAATGGGGAACATATGCCTGAGGGATTGGCCAAGCATCGGACACAACTTAACAAATATCATCGTCATCATTGCTGCAAAGGTTGCAACCGGCCATCGGTCACAAAGTTACTTCTTCATTATTGTTGTAACCCTGAACAGCTGCAGTCTGAGGCAATTGTTAAGCAAGGACTATGTGTAACGAAGAAACTCATCTTATCCGCCATCCTTAGTTTACATGGGATGGTAAGATTTATCTTTCTTTCCTAAAAACTATCCCTAGCATGTCATAAAGTTGGTCTCTTCCAGATGTCTCTATAATCCCAAGACAGAGCAGTTCATGCCAGGGAACATTGTCAAACTGTACAGAGGTTGTACAGTTAAAAAGCTCATTTGCCTTCAGAGATTCATGTTGCAATCCAGCAGCATCTCAAAGGATTAATAATAATACTTGTGGGTTCTGTTTCATATGAAACAGCCACAGAAAACATTCAGGATTCACATTTCTAGTAAAACACAAATAACAGTTGCCTCGGGAGGGCCCCAGACCAAAAAGCTGTTCTTTATAGTTGATCCTGCAAAGATGAAACAAGAGGTGCTTTTACTTCGAACAGCTGTGCGGTAATTGTTCAAACACTCTTTGTACACAAACAGAAACAGACCTACTCGTATGTCGTGTATTAAAATCCAGCTTCATTCTTTATGCACAAAGGTATTCGTTGAAAAGAGGATCCCTTGGTAAGAAAACAAAACAAGGAAATGCTAAGTGTTGTAAGAAAAACTTTATAGCCGTTAAGGTGATTTTTAGTTTTTTTTAAAGAAATTACTTTACAAATGCTGCTTTTCTAATTTATATTGGCAAAATCCAACGGAACCTAGCCATGGTGATCATTTAGTGAGATCAGAGGAATGATTATTAGCAATAGCACTTAGACTGATATACCGCTTCACAGTGCTTTCCAGCCCTCTCTAAGCGGTGTACAGAGCCAGCCTATGGCCCCCAACCATCTGGGTTCTCATTTTACCCACCTCAGAAGGATGGAAGGCTGAGTCAACCTTGAGCCGGGTGAGATTTGAACTGCCAAATTGCAGTCAGCCAGTAGTCAGCAGAAGTAGCCTGCAGTACTGCACTCTAACCATTGCGCTACCGCGGCTCTTGTATTACTTCTTTTAAATCTTAAAAGTGCTTTTTCAGGAGGCAACTGGACGTTCTTGTTTTTTTCTTTGAAGATATTTCACTTCTCATCCAAGAAGAAAAACCAAGGAAGCCCAGTTCTCTCTTGAAAAAGCATCTTTGCAACAACCATGACTGAGATGACTGAGAATCTCCATAGACTTTTAGCTACTTATTTTAAGTTACAATGCTTTAACTTTTCAGCTGCTGTTGAATCATAACTTTTGGTTGCTTTTAGTTTTAGTTACAACCAGCCAGCATGGCCGGCCTTAGGAACCTTAGCACTAATCCAATAACCAGTTCTGGAAAAATACAGGTTCTCCAATCCTGCTTTAATTGGACTGGGGAAAATATACACAGACACACATGTCACAATGATGTAGCTGCTGTTTCAAATGCTGTTATTGAGAATTAGGGTTGTTGACGGCAATCTATGAAATCTGTGAAATTGGTCCACCACAATCATCACCATTACATTAAGAAATTTATATACAAGCCTTCAGCATAAGTTTATAAGATGTAAAAATCTAAGGGATAATTAAACTATTTTATACAGTTTTTCTTTTTTGACTTATTCAGGAAGAAAAATATAATAAAAATATACACGCTACAGACATTTTAGGAATAGAAACTCTTTAATAATTTGAGATATACAGACAAGACCACATGGTTAGCTGACTGTGAAGAAGCTTTAGTGGTTATAAAAGTAAAAAAATGGACTATGACAAAAAGGCTAATGTTAAATACTAAATAGACAAAAGTAATCCCAAACTGCACATATACAGTTGACAGAGGAAAATGTAGTAGACGGTATTGTTTTCATCAACACTAAAGATAAACAATGTATTGGAGAAGTGTAAGAGATTAGTTCAAGTGGAAAAAGCTATGACAAATTTAGATTAGAATATGAGGGGTCCAATGCCAACAGATATCAGAATGATCTTTTCTGTACTAAAGTATGACTGTGAAAACTAGGTTCTTTTAAAGAGGGAGAAAAAGATACAGGTATGATTGAATTATGAATTTGGAAACTAACTGGTTACTATGAGGATCATGGACTGGAAGAAGAGACCATCAACTAATCCTGAACAAAGCAAAAACTGGTTGCTCACTTGGGGTAATGATCAGCCAGCAGAAATTCACATTCTTTGGGCCCATGTAAGCTGACTATGGAGTCTAAAATGTATTATGACCAGCAAGGGTGAAGGAAGCAGAAAAGGAGAAAGATGAGAGGGATGGGATTAAGATTCCTGGAATAGCCTTTAAACAGCAGTGAGTTATTACTAAAAACAGATGAGAATTTGCCAAACCTCATTAGTGAGAGGTCAACCTGAGTAGGTGGAGCCTAACTGACTTCCAAGCTCAATTGCAGAGAACTAAGCTTTAACGCAGAACTAGTATGGGTCTTCTGAATGTAGATGAATGCCAAGATCCAGCATCACTCGGCATTAGCCAGGCTGGCAAGGCAGTTGGGAGGTACACTTAGGACCATCTGAATGCCTGCCTGCTCCCTGCTCATCTTAATGGCTTTGCCGTTGAGGTCTGCAGCAGAAAACACACTGTAGATATAGCCTTTTAATGAAACTATCTTTTAGCAGAAACCTCAAGCAGGAAAGGAGGTTGCAGCAAGAATAATAAAGAGAAGCATTTTGCATGTTATGTGCTGGTTAGTGCTTCAGAGTTTTGAGTGGGAGTCTTTCTGAGGCTTTCCTGGATA